TAAGCCAGAAATGCCCATTCCGGTTTCCCTTATCTTCTTTCGGCAATGTTTCCCTGCCGAGCGGCTGCTGGTGGGCCAGAGAGAGATCGAGAACGACTCCCAAGGTAAAACGGGACTAGTGAGTTTCGTAACTAAGCAGCCATGTCTTTAAGTATCGGCATCCCATGAAATGTAATTTTAAAAAAATAGATGAAGTTCTTCGGATACAAACTAACTTTACTGTGTAAATATAAAAGTCTGGTACTCAAGTTTGTCCTCAGAAAAATACTAGACGTACAAAACGGTTAAATTTGAACTATGCTTCATACAAGATTCTGTGGAAAGACAGAATGTAAGTCACTGGGCGTACACTGTATTAATTTATCTGGCCGATAGTGAGTGTATTCGCTTCCACCTGACTAAGAGAAATTGTTAATTGTCGTCTAAATCGGCAAAAAGTGGATGACCATTTCTGATAAAAGTTGTAATAATCATACTTTCCCGAAAAGATTGTGGAAGAATCCTCAACAGTTCCGACTACAGCAAAGTGATGAAGTGCAGTACGTCCGATTAAAAGTACTTCGACTTGTTGGCCAGCATTTAATCTATTCTATTTTTGGTTGACAATGCAGTGGACGGGCGGTTTACAATTCGGAATAATCACGTATAAACATAAAAGAGCTACCGAACATTCTCAACATTATCTTGTGACCCAAAGAAGGCATTTTATTAACTTAAAAGAGACGCCAATACCATGGTGTTGCCTGCTGACAACGGAGGTTGAACTGTTGCTTTAAACTAGACGGACTACCTATAGAAGACGGAATAAATATTAACAGAACTTGATTTACACGCCTCTAAATACATATCCTACAAAGTCATAGAATTCGCATATCGAAAAAGTTCTGAACCATCTCACAGAAATAAAATAAAGCTCTGGAGTTCCAACCAAATCCAGTTAATACTGAACTGTTTACTGAATGAGCTGCCGTGTTTTAAAATTACTAACTAGTCGGAAGAAAGGCGCACAAAATGGGCGTTAACACTTGCTGAGACCAAATGTCACATGTCACAGCTAATTCTACTGCAGTTTGTCTCGCTGTCTAATTTTGATTCGCGCATTTTAGCACACCAAAACAGAATGCCTCTGGAGCCCGTGATGCAACAAGAAGAAGAAAAAACGCCACGCTTCTTAATCTTAACGAATCCGACTAAATGTATCTGGAAGTAAAAGTTGAGCGTTCGAACTCTTCGTGGATACTGCTGATCTGCAATCAGTCGGATGATAGAGGAACGAACACCTCTTTTGGCATAACAGAGAGAGCCGCTCCGTTTGATTTTCTTCTTGGTTGTGAAAGCAACTTGCTCTAGTGTCAATATCTACCATCAGTTTGACTGCCAAGAACGACGCGGTCCCCGTGGCAAGTCGGACGGCGTGCAATGACTTGCACGTAAATTACTTTACGCTCATAGTAACTTTTCACAGTATCTCCTACACTCTCTCCTCCACCACCCTTCTTGGCCCGGTGGCAAGGGTGACTTGGGACAACCAGAGTCTGGTTCGAACGCGGTACCTGGAAAAGCTAGGTTGTCCTATACGCATACCATGAATACGACCGGATGACAGTTCTATCGCGTTGTGTCTAAGGCTAAGACGGTTAAATCGAACAGCTGCTATCTTCTAGGCCAGGTTCCTTAGGAGAGGAGAGAGGGAAGTCTTGGGAAGGCCAGAGTAGTAGGAAGAATACATTCTTTACATAATGAATTGGAGAATAGTTAGGACGAATCCTTGAGTGCCGGAGTTCACGTCTAGCCGCCAGGCGGGCTAGGTCCGGAG